ACAAAACCTAAACCTAACCCTAAACCTAACCCTAAACCTAACCCTTAACTTACGACAAAACCTAACCCTAACCCTTAACCTAACCCTAAACCTAACCCTTACCTTAAGTTGAATCGGCTTGCTTTCAAAGCGCTATTTAAAGCGCCTTTCTTTCTCCACGCTCGTTGTTGTCGCCCTTTGATGACGTCAGTGACGCGGTTTAATCGGGCGTGGTTTAGTCGAGCGCGGTTTTGTCGTGCCACGCCTTTGGTGCATTAAAACACTGGCAAATATTTCAAGATAAGTGTTTTTCCAAATAAGAACTAATAAAACTTGGGAGTATCTTACATTTTAAAATTGATTTTCTAAAATAAATGAAAAAATGTTTTAACGCTTAGTTTCTGGCACCTACACCACCATATAAGATTACATAACGGTGCCCACTAACAGGAAAAGGCTACTGACTCCTGGTAAAAACAGCTGCAATGGGGAAGAAAAGGACACTGTCTTAGAAATAGATTTGTGCTCTTAGTCCCCATTTTAAAAAATGACAGCAATCTGTCCCAGCGTCAGACTCATGCACCGACCGTTATGGCTTGTTGGAAAATAGATGATCTCTCACTCTTTCAATCCGAAGGCTACAGTTGTGGAGCGGGATAATAGCCGGAATACTCATCCATTATGACTTCCTCTTGCAGAAGTGATCATGGGTAATTATTATCCCCTTTCGAGTTACGGCTATGTTATAGCCAGGAAAAGCATGGCTTGTACAGCAAAGGTAAGGAAAGCAAAAGCTCCTGTCAGATTCGTTTTGAAGAAGGCAAGAGGCAGAGAGGTTCTAGTACTCTGGGGAATTTTTCCCAGTCAAGTGGGAAGGGGGAGAAGCAGTCTCCCCATCAGCTGGCAAGTGGGCTTCTTACATAAAAGCAGCATCAAAACAACTTGTGAATAATTCTACATAATAGAGCCAGATGTTTTTATCTGCTTTCATCAGCTCCTGTGCCAAGTTTATCTCATTAAAAGAGCCACAGGCTGGGAAGCCAACCTTGAAAGATACAAATCAAGGTTTCTTGGCTCTTACAATCCTATACTTCCTTGCTCCTTCTCTTTTAAACACACACACACACACACACACACACACACACACACACACACACACACCTCCCCTAGGAATTGCAAAATGATGTAATGGGGAGGAGAGTAATCCAAAGTCTCCTGTTGGCAAGTTTGTGGTCTAGCACCTAAACTGTGACTTTTGCAACTAGAAATCAGGACTTAATTAAGTAAGAATCTGTAGCTATTTATGATTTACAGGTAGTCCTCAACTTACAACAGTTCGCTTAGTGACCACTGAAAGTTACAACAGCACTAAAAAAAAGTTACGACCATTTGGGATGATTGACAACTGATTCACATGTATGAGGGTTGCAGTGTCTCAGGGTCATGTGATCCCCTTTTATGACCTTCTGACAAGCAAAGTCGATGAGGAAACTAGATTCACTTAACGACCGTGTTATTAATTTAACAACTGCAGTGATTCACTAAACAAATGTGGCAAGAAAAGTCATAAAATAGGGCAAAACACTTAACAAATTTTTCACTGAGCAACCTAAATTTTGGGCTCAATTGTGGTCATAAGTTGAGGACTACCTATACATAGTTTTTAGATCAATAAAATAAAAAGTATGTAATATGAGCGCCTACAATGAAGGGCAGGCAGCAGAAAGACTTTTCGGTATTTTGTGTGTGTGTGTGTGTGTGTGTGTGTGTGTATGTGTGTGTGTGTAATTTTTATATAACTTGGTATTTTTGGATGCTGCTGCTGTTATTGTTATCCTTGGGATCTGTGACATTGTTTAGTTGGTGGCATTCCTTCTTTCATCAGAATTTCATTTTAATGTGTGTTATTGTGTATACAGAAAAAAGACAATAAAAGTTATCTTAATCTTAACTGAGAATGCTGTCTGGCTATATGATCCTCATACCTAATCAGCTGGCCTTAGAGGACAATCTTAGTTCATCATACAATAGTTTCCAAAAAATTTTCTTATAACTGGTCTCCTTGGTGAGGACTGCATTCCTGATGGCATTAATTCCGAACTTCCTAGGGCAGGGGTGTCAAACTCAAGGCCCGCAGGCCAGATCTGGCCCATGGGGTGCTTCGATCTGGACTGCGAGGCCGACCTGGAAACAGTGAAAGACTGGTCCACAGTGCCTCTGCCAGTGAAAGCAGAGTTCGGGAGGGCCACGTGAGCCCCTTCTGAGCTCCATTTTCACTGGCAGAGGGTTGCAGGAAGCTGTCGCAACCAAAAATGGAGCTCTGGAGCCCATTTTCACTGGCAGAGCGCCTAGGCCACAAGTGACATCGAGCTGGCCACGCCCCCTGACCACACACCCCCTCCCGAGGTCAAACACAACCCCGATGTGGCCCTCAATGAAATCGAGTTTGACACCCCTGTCCTAGGGCCTCACAGACTCCTGACTCTCCACTGCTGCTTAGTACCTTGGCTCCTGGCTTAGATTATGCTTCTGGTTTAACTAGCTCAAAAACCTCTCTTCTCACAAACTTCTTTTTTAATCCCATCGACATGGAATTTAAAACTCACTAAAGTGTCTTCCTCTGATCAATACAGCAGCACCAATATTTAGCTCCTGCTAACCTTAGAGGCAATATACTATATACTCAAAGTCAAAGAACCCTCACTCCCATCATGTTTTAAAATATGATTGTTCACCACTCATATCCAGTCTTGATTCTTGAAAGAACCATCTGCCTTTTTTTCTTAGCTTCCAGAGTGTATGATTTTGTTGCCCTGCGGTCTCCATTTATAACATACTTTAACTGTGTATGGCATCTTTAT